CTTCGCGACACATTGCAATAAAGTGACACTTTTAAATTTCATTAAAATTATTTTTACATGTGCATCAGTCAACCCTCGGTTCTAAATTATGAACACACAAGGGATCACAATGCACGAGCGATGCATGTGCTGTTATAGCCTCAATCGTGCGTTTAAAAAGAATAATGTCAGTATGAAAAATAGGAATTAGATCGTGATTTATTCAGAACAATCTCGTTGAGTCCCAAGGCTCCGTTTCAAGAGGTTCCTGCATTGGCATGTCGAGTCAGTTTAACTCGCACATGTTTCACACACAGGAGGGAAGTAGGTCTTTCCAGAGAGAGCCGAGACACGGTCTCATTTTATTTTATATTCGCCTTTGTTCAAAGGTCTGCACAGATGCAGTTAAGGATGCAATGCTATATTGCCCTCGCCTGGCGGGGCTTGCAGCCCAATTTAATGAGAATCGGAATATTGTATTTATTTACGCAGACCGGAGGAATCCGACGGGCTATGAAGCTCTTTTTCACAGATGTCCACGCGGGGCTAATCAGAACGTCGTTAAGCCCCCGGTGTTTCCGTGCGGCTTCCCATTAAGGCGTTGACAAATCTGTCTTAAGTGACCAGATCGCGTGCGGCTGATCTGTGCACTTGTAGGGTCCACAGCAACTCGACAGCCGCCACAACCAGCACAACAACAACAACATAAACAAGAGTTCCTGCTCAAATGAACATTGGTGCATTGGTTATTTTCACCTGTTTACAGAGCATTCCACAGCAGGTGGTGGAAATTCTACATTCCTATGGCGGTGGGGAGGGGGGGGGCAAGTACATCCATTTAGACACGGTGGCGAGATGGTATCTGCCTCGCCTGGTATGCAGGAGGCCGTGGGTTCGATCCCATCCCTGACGCCTGCTGTATATTTGGAGCTGTGTCTCTCTCCCTGTGGTCACGTGGGTTTTTCTCCTGGTCCCTCCAGTTTTTCTCTCCACATTTAGAAACACGCATTCAGAGTATTCGGCTGCAATACAGTTCCACGTGATAACCTATCCATTTGTGATAGCCAAGTCGCTTCTGAAAAAGAGCCACGTAGCTCAGTGGGCCTTGACTAGAAAAAAAATATATAGTTTTAAACTGCTTCACAAAGTGGTACTTCTTCTTGGTTCTTTCGGTAAAGTCACGTAGAATGGAAATAATAAAATAAAAAACATAATAAAATAAAATTCTCACAACGTTTCGGCCACAACGCAAGCAGCCGTTTTCAGGTGAAGAACCGGGCTTAGAGTACGGCTGCTTGCGTTGTGGCCGTGATAATTTTATTTTATTATGTTTTATTTTTATTATTTTATTATTTCCTTTCTACGTGACTTTACCGAAAGAACCAAGAAGATGAATCCCTGCAGTCACGAAAGCTTTAAATCGAAAGTGGTACTTATTGTATTGACTCCCGGGAAGGATGATTGACTCAGTCAACCCCCAACAAATATTTGAATTCACAAGCTTCCGCTCACTCTGCGGCCCAAGCAACGTACACAGCGAGAAAGAGGAAAGGAATGAGCGGTAGGAGATAAAACCAGGGGAAGGAAGAGGCAGTTGTTGAATGGGTTGAGCTCCAATGTCTTGCAGGGTGATTTTCACCGCAGTTGATTCACAGTTTAATTCTTATCCTTGGCCTTTGTGTTTCAGGCAATGCGATTTCTCCGTAGTGCCGTGCGATACGGTGGCAATATCGAAGGTCAGCTTCCAAGCACGCAAGAGATAAAAGCGAACAAATGCAAACGTGTACAAAAACAATATTCTCTGCTTGGCATTTCTCAGGAGAGTAATCGCTTTTAGTATAATTACATTCCTCTATCGTACCATTTACCATTTTACCATTTGTAAGCCTCCTGTCACTACGTATGTGTGTGTGGATGTATGGGGAGCGGTAGTGTAGTGATTAACACGCTGCACGACGGCACCTAGCGACCCGTGAAGATTATCTGAACCGGTCCTGGGCCTCCCCTCGGATGACTCAGCCTCAAATGAGTACCTGGCGCGGTGTGAAAAACATCGCCGCTAGGGAGACAAAGGCGGCCGGGCGTGGTGCTGGCCACCCACCCCCTCGTGTGCCGTTCCGGCCTTCATAGGTGCTCGCTTAACATCACTTGCTCCAGCGATCTGTTAAGGCTCGACGGGGGATCTTTGTCATGTATGTATGTTGAACTTCTTTCGCGCCGTACGTAGCCGACCGTGCTCATCGGAGGCTGCTGGATGAAGGACTTCCTCTGGCCGCTATAGGTCATGGGGGCTAATTCACCGCACTCCACCACAGTGGTCGGTTGTGGGCTCGGCAAAGGGTGGGTGGGAGGAGGAGGAGGAGACGGTCCTGAGACGAATTGAAACGCGACTCACCGCCGATGTCAAGCCGTGGCCCGGAATCCAACTCGTGTGGCATCGCTAGCGCCCTGTGGTATACGCGCAGCGATAGTCTCATGGGGGGCATGGCCCTGCCACAGGAACGTGGCGTCAACGACACTGCGCTCAGAGGCTGGCAAGAGAGATGCGTGCCGCGCCGTGCACATTTTAATCAGGGGGCACTTTTACATGGCCGTTTGCATTTCGAGTCATCATTGTGCTTGTAAATTGGAGGCGGTAAAGCAAGTAGGTTTTATTGACCTGTCAGAGCAGACGTGGAGCGTTGTCCCCCTCGCACGCATGAGTTTTCACCATAACCGTAATTTTAGCTCCCACGATCTCGTCCGTTTTGTACACGTGGCACGGGTACGTCCACAACTGCTCAGGTTTATTTCGCTACACTTCAAGCTGGTCAGTGCGGGTTGGCGAAGGAAGGATGCGGTGGGTGCATAGATTGGAGCGTAGTACAGGATAGCAGCGGATTTGCCTGCACCCGCTCTCTACCTGCCTATTGAACTCCATGGTAAACTACAATTCCCGTGCATTTTTATATTTTGTATTCTTGTTGTTGTCATGTACGGTGGTCACCCATTGATGTAGGATCCAGGCTCAAATCCTGTTTAGCTGCCGAGGTCTGAGGAGATCTGGCGTAATCCGGGTGGATTCTGGTCACGGTCTTCTCATGTAAATTCATAATAATAGCGATGCTCTTCACCCGGAATAGCCTCACCATACGGCATGCAATAAACACGTAATAATCATAATAATAATTCCATTTTTTTATATACATAATAGCCTCGCTAAGACTCTGGCCTCTTTATCCTGGATGGTTCTGCATTTGGGATGTTTGGCCAGTGACATTAGTGAGCCTTTTGAATTGAGTTAAATACTATTTAGCGTTATACGTTTAGGATTGTTCAGATAATATTTGCTAGCAAAAGACATCCTCATAAACTATTCAGTGTTGTGAATTGTCTGCCATAATATTTTTTAATTAAGTAATTTCAAACACTGCAGGCCCGCTGATTTTTTTATTAGATTTTCTGACATCGGACTGCTTATATTCCGGCCAAGCAGACCATTAATCAATAAATATAACGTTTTTGAAAACTACTGGAGACATTTTAATGAAATTTGCATACAATTTCGAGATATGCGTGACAAAATGAGCAAATGTTTTGAAATTAAAAAGTTGTGACTGCAACTTGCGTTGCACAGTTGCGCTGTGGTTAGATTCCTTGACTGTGAACCCAATGACCCGAATTAAATTGCCTCCTGACCACGGCTAACGTCAGTGGCGAGTAAATGCTGGACTCGTCCTGGCCACCGGCTCCTCCCTTCACCAATCCGGCGATACTGGTCGTAGTGAAGTCCGGTTGAACATCACCAATGACCGTCATGGCATTTATGGCCCTTTAGAGGGCTTCGATAGTGGATTAACAAAGGGTTGTACAGTACGTGATTTTATTATTATTATTAACCACCTTTACAAACTTTAATTTGTACAGCATCTAAAATGAACCACATTCTAAGATGATGTCTTGACAATGTCTTAATCGTGAATGAAATTGATTAATTAAAGCACCGTCTATGCCACGATGACTTTATTCGATGACTTCCAATTTCTCATCACAAACATGAATTGTATCACCGAGGGTCATAATCATCAGCCATTGTCTATCCACTGCTGGATGATGGCTTCCCACACAGGGCCTCAAAAGAGGGGCCTCACCTGCTCTTGAATTAACCAAAGTGTTTCTATTTAAAGCGTTCGTGACTGCAGGTATTCATCTTCTTGGTTATATCGGTGAAGTCACGTAGAATGGAAATAATAAAATAATAAAAATAAAACATGATAAAATAATTCTCACGACGTTTCGGCCACAATGTAAGCAGCCGTCCTCAGGTGAAGAACAGGTCACTTTACCGAAAGAACCAAGAAGACAAAGTGTTTCTGTTATCCAGAGATCCCGTGCCAAGGATATATTGTATTTTATTTGGATCTCAAAATCAACATGCCAAAGCCGTTGATGCAATCACACCCTCCCCAATTCTTTCGACACGACCTACAAGATCCTTCCGTAAGACTATCCCACCGGCTGCTCTTCTGTCTTCCCGTTGGGCTTAGGACTCATGGCGACCACTCATATACCTGTCTCAGCATTAGCCCCCGTCAAATCCAGCAGCACATAACCGTTTTATTTTGTATATAATCACGTCTTTAACCTGACACTTTTCCTTTTGGACTTTGCTCACCTTGTCGTGCCATGACATTTCTAGCATCCGTCTTTGCGGATACCTGTGCTCAAAAAGCCAACTGGAAGCTAACATTGCTATCACTGCCAAGGAACAGTTCCTGGGCGGTACACTATACATGTGCTTCACTGATCAGGCAGCTGTGGGGCCGGGCGGAGGCCCTTTCTGAACGTGATCATGAACCCTGCGCTCGGAGTTTCACATTCCCATGGCAAAAAAACATCATCAGCAGTGTCTCCAGGAGGTGGCCACTGTTGACTTGCCATGAAATAGTGTTAATTGTACGAGCTCCCCAAGGGGGGGTTCATGGCCTGTGTCAACACTCCGCCAGGATTATACGGCGATAACGATTGCTACGGCGGGTAAGTGTTTTTACATTTTGTAAAGATAATTTTAACAAGTTTTTTCTATGTATGTTGGACTTCTTTCGCACCGTACGTAGCCAACCATGCTAATCGGATGTGCGTATATATATATAGATATAGATGCCATGTTTTTGTTTTGCTACGGCTGATCCATTGGTGAGCGGTGTTACGCGTCGTGTACACTGCGTCACACACGCGCGGGTTTTTGTCAGCCTGTCTCGTTAGTGTTATTTATTTATTCAGCTCAGCCCCGGCTGAGCCAAGTGACATCGGACAGATCCGTGGCAGCGCACCCACAGAGACCCCTCTGCCTCGCTGGCAGGCGCTCCGCCTGCAAACATGTCACCAGCGCGGCCTGAAGCTCGGCAAGGAGGCCAGACGACAGAACAGGAGGCAAACGAGGCATTGTGAGGCTTACCGAGAGGAGTTATCAACGGGGGAATTTCGTGGCTCGGTCAGAGGCACCTGCGGCCGAGTCGGACACTCCGAGCGCCTCCGTTCAAGTCCCGCAGACTCAGACAAGGTACTGCAAAAAATGTTCACGCGCTATTAACCGCAGTTCCCTTGACCCTCTGTAAATCGGTCACTGATCAGGCAGCTGTGGGGCGTTACGAGGGACATCCGCCTTTGCCCTCCGTGGGGCTTGAGTCCTCCGCTTGTCCCTGACCGCTGCGAATGCTGCCTCTTTGCAGGGGCAGTGAAGCGGTGCCTCTTGATCGGGGGCGGCACACTGTAGCGTGGTGTCTGGTGTCCTTCACTCTCGGTTTCATCGACTCGTGGTTGTTGTTTTTACTTTTTGTTGTCGGCGGCTTTCCAACCCGCCCACCCTCTCGGGTGTCCTTTTGTGGCCAGAGTGAAACCAATTTCGATTTAAAGCTTTCGTGACTGCAGGGATTCATCTTCTTGGTTCTTTCGGTAAAGTCACGTAGAATGGAAATAATAAAATAATAAAATAAAACATTATAAATTATTATCACGACGTTTCGGCCACAACACAAGCAGCCGTCCTCAGGTGGAGACCAGGTCTGTCGGGGAGACAGCGTCGACAGACCTGGTCTTCACCTGAGGACGGCTGCTTGCATTGTGGCCGAAACGTCGTGAGAATTATTTTATTATGTTTTATTTTATTATTTTATTATTTCCATTCTACGTGACTTTATCGAAAGAACCAAGAAGGAGAGTGAAACCAGTTTGGTAGAAGAACCGGCAGTGACCCCCCCCCCTCCCCAAGTTGTATGAAGTTCGATTCCTAGCCGAGGTCAGCTCAGCCCATCATCCCTCCAGGGTCAGTAAAATAAGCAACCGCACGGTGAGAAACAACATCTGCTGAGCAGTCAAGAGAGTGCTTTGTGTAAAGACTGGGCACTGCCATAGGAATGTGGAGTTTATTTGTTTAGCTCGAGACTGATCCTGAAGTGAGCCCTGCCCAAACATTGTGCCGTCGGCGAAGGGAAGGATCGATTTTTACTGTGAAGAGCCCTTGTGTTTCTGATATTGCTCGTGGGTATTGTGCAGTGGGGGGATAACTATTCACTCTCCACTGGCCCACGACAATTTGATAATTTGGTGTGTCTCGTTTGTACCATCTCGTTTGCATTGTTTCTCCTAATGACCTGTCTCGTTTGTACCGTACCGGACGCTCCACCGGCCAATGAACGTAACAGGAGCAAATCATTTCCGTAACATGAAAGAATGAGTCGTACGAACGCGTTTTAATACAAGCGTCGTGAGCCTTCGGAATCAATACAAATCAATAATTGTTACAACAAGATTGTACGGCACACCTCCATCTGTTTGGCTAAATTGATCAAGATGCTTTAAATAGACACGGAATCGTTCACCTAGCATGGTCGGCTACATTCATACAATTAAATGCACTCCTGCAATTAACATGAGGCTAACGAGTGAAAACATCTGTTGTAATATTGTATTACTCTTCTTTTGCAATATATGTTTGTGCTACTGTATTGCATTTCAGTAACATTTTAAATTCTCTCACATGCTTACACAGTTTTTAAAGACTACGGATGGGTTTGGTTAAGTCTCCAAATTACCTTTTGGGATAACTTGATATCGATCCAAAAGGAAAAGTCAAGTTAAAAAAAAGTTCTTACATTTTTGTTTAATTCAGTCAGCACCAGAACCAACGTGTTTCAAAGTTTCATTGTTCCAAGCCATCAAGAGCATAGTTATACTTTTAACGCCTAAGTCCATCATGAGCAGCTGTTTAAAGTGGTCAGATGGCGTTATGGTCAGTGAATTGAACCGCCATCACAGAGTTTCTGGGTTTGAATCTGGAGCAGCCCCCTGTCATTAATAATATCCGCGAAACAATTTGTCGCGTGCACACATTTCACGAAATGGATATCTCGTTATTCTATTGCGAGCTCGGAGGTGCGGAGCACAGGCTCGCGATTCTCATGTGTGCCAGCTTGAACATGACTACTGCGGTGGCTGAGATGTTAACTACCTCGCCTAGTATACAGGAGGTCGTGGGTTCGACCCTGACGCCTGCTGCTGTATATTTGGAGTTTGCACGTCTCTCCCTGTGCTCATGTGGATTTTTCTCCTGCTCCTCCAGTTTTTCTCTCCACATTTAGAAACACGCGTTCAGAGTATTCGGCTACTCTCCATTTTGTTGAGCTATCATTTGTGGCCTGGTCGCTTCTGAAAAATAGCTACATAGCTCGGTGGGCCTTACCTGGTAAGACAGAAATCGTGTAATAGTTTCAAGTGCGGCACCTTTTGCTGACTCCTGGAGGTAGAGGGGGTTGGAATGCTTATTATGTGCAAGGGGAGAGTTCCAGGAGCCACGGAGAGTCTCCACTTCGGACTGTTAAATATTGGGTTTTCAAGTCTAGGATGTTCATATTTTCATGAATTACAACACGTAAAAAAACACCTATAGTATCAAGTTTGTTTAACACTTCTTGTGGAAAAACAATCCAGCTCTGTGGATTACAGAAAACACAACCTGGGTTTGACTGCCATGGGACGAACATCACATGATCACAATATCAATTCAATGCATAAGCTTTCACGACCAATATTATGATTCATAATTGGTTCATCTTGGCTTAGATCGTATAGGTATAATGTCAATAATATGGAGGGTTATGGTTTAACAAAAATGCATTACACCTACACGATCGAACCAAAAATAAACTAATTGTGAATTTCTCCAGCAGTGCGTGTGAGAAATTGCGGTATCCATGAAGGTATCTAAAACTAGTTCTGTGATGCCTCTGCCTGGGGGTTGTTTGCCAACATGGGGTGATGCACTGCTTCCCGAGAGAGTTTCTAATGGACATTTCCTCTAATGAGATGACACTACCGGTGCAATAATCGATGTAGAATAGATATGTAAATTCAAGTCCAGTAAAGCTCGTGTCTGTAAAGCAGCCCAAGGACTCATTTTGTGTTGGTATACAGGCATGTTGATTGGTTATGCACAAAAACAAAGACAAAGATCCCCCGTATAGCATTAACTCACTGTTGGGGCAAGTGCTGTTAGCGAGCACCTATGAAGGCTGGCACGGCACACGAGGGTGTGGGTGGCCAGCACCACGCCCGACCGCTTTTGTCTCCCCAGTGGTGATGTTTACACTCCACGGCTGAGTGGACCTAAGAGAGTCCCAGGACCGGTTATAATAATCGTCACTGATGCTGGCCATGAGCGGGAATACGAACTCGGGTCGCCTGGTTTTATAGCGCAGCGCACTAACCGCTAAGCTACTGTTCCAGACACGCAAACATACACACAAACGTCTGGACACGTTTCGTCAGCAGCTCACACGAGGACATTTTAACGAGTAGAGTGTCCTCCGAAGGTTTGCCCACTTCAGCGCCAATTTATTCCACGCAAGTACAATTTGAATAAGTGCGCCAAACACAATTAAATTGATGTTCATGATTTGTGGTCAGTGGCAATTAGGCTGACGTAATTGTTCACATGCCAAACTCTATTCAGTTTCGCGAGCATGTAGAAATGGCGTTATATAAAAAAAAAACGAAATCAACTTAGCTTGGGGTACCTTTTGTAGAATGAAATGTGCTGAATGTTTTAATAAGTCACAAGTGACAATGAGCCCCAGCTCTGGCTTAAAATCATCATCTATCTTTGTGTTCGTGTCGTAAACGCTGCCTCCGGAACGCAAATGTACCGTCACATCCCTCGAGCGCTGGATTAAAATTAAGTTCTGATTTAAGGACAGCGCATTTAGCACACGGCAGAGTGTACGTTGGTGAGTGAGAGAAAGAGACTGCCCGAAGGGAGTTCCTGGGAGAGAGAGAGAGAGAGACAGGGAGCAAGCAAGCAAGAGAAAGCATTTTCTTGCTGTGGTTGTTCCACTTGATGATGATTGCTTGTGTTGCGATCGAAACGTCGTGATTTGTTTTATTTTATTTTATTTCCACCTACGTGACTTTACCGAAAGAACCAAAGAGTAACCGCACAATGTGTTTTGGTAGCTAAGCTCATCAGTTTGCAAACTGCCTTCCACGTTTCATTCATCAGACGCGCGCGTGTGTCAAAATATGTACCTGGTGCGGTGTGTACACATCGCCACTAGGGAGACAAAGGCGGCGTGGCGCTGGCCACCCACTCCTTTGTGCGCAGTATAGGCCTTCACAGGTGCGAGTCGCAAACAGCACTCACCCCACAACTCTGTTGAGGCTATTCGGAAGATCTATATCTTTGTCCCCCCCCCCGCCTCCGCTCCAAAGGGAGAAACTGCCCAGGTTTGCGTCTTTGCGAGGCGATTGTGAAAGGGTGCACGAGTATTCATATTCTTAGGTTTTTTCGGTTAAGTCACGTAAGTAAAACATCAAAATAAAAATAAAATAAAAATAAAAATCACGACGTTTCGGAGGCAACACAAGTCTCCGTCATCAGGTGGGACCGTCACAGCCGAATTAGCTGCATCAAGTGCACGAGTGAGTGCGAATTTCAAAGCCGGCTTCCCCATGCAGCGGCACCGTGCGACAAAATCGACTTAATCCAGTGGCTCTTCACCTGGTGTGCTCCCTGCACCCCCTGGGGGTGCGAGATGCCCTCTCTGGGGGAGGTGCGAGAGAAAGCAAGATTTGTTTTTTAGAAGGCAAATAATCGAAAACACAAATTAAGCACGAACAACGTAAGTGCAAGTTCTTTGTTTCATCAAACCCGGTGTATGGATTAACATTACATATGTTTTTAACGATTGCGAACCGAGGGGGTTACAAGGCTGCAGTAAAGATTAAGAGTCACTGGGCTAAGCAATCGCTAAGGGAGGAAGGGGGGGGAGACAAGCAGCTGAGAGGGGTCCCAACAAAAAAATGGGGGAGCGGGTGGCTTCCATTGTTATGATTATAATTAATTAGCTGGCTAAGGATCGTTTGTTTTGATTGGCAATCGTAACCATCAATCACGATTCTAGTTGGGGGGGAGGGGGTTAGGCAACAGTCGCACGATGATGTGATTGATGGCCACATCGGGAAGAAAAAAGTTCCGCAAACAACACTTTCAAATGGAGACGTGCCATT